TGGATGTATTTCTGATGGTTGACTGCACAAGTGTTTTATTTTTCAATCCGTTTAACATGAACTTGTTTGCCCTGCTTCCCAGCATTGGAGAAACACGTTGAATTCTGAATGCTGAAATAAAAATTGCTGCTATTGTTTAAAACATGCAAAAACGTATCATTTATTCAAATGTTAGATTTGTAAATCATTGAATTTCATGGTAGAGGAATCATTAGGCAAACTGCAGACTGCACTATAGGTCATGTTTAATTTATTTTCAAAGCCTTCATTCGTGCTTTTTGGTCCAGTGTGTCGTAAGTTATTCAATACACAAAGGTGTCTACTTATGTCTCACAATAATTAAGCTGATTAAGTCATATTATCACTAACAAGAAGCATTAATTCCACTCGAGTGAACACTCCAAACAAAGTCAGTGACATTTCCTCCACTTAGACTGAAAACACATTACAGGCAAACTGGGGAGACAAAAGCTTCACTTAGCACAGGCCTATTTCTTCAACTGATCTCTGTGGAGGAGTTGGCAACTGCTGTTTTCCAAGCGGTAAAAAAAAAGAAAAAGAAAGAAAAAAAAGAAAAGAAAAAGTAAAAGAAAACAAAAGGTGCAAAGGAGCAGAGAAAATCAGCACATGACAATCATGCAGACAATTTTGCAGTGTGACAGAGGTTAAATTATTGTGGCAAAAGCTAAAGGATATTTATTTTTGCGAAACTTCCACTGAGATCAAAAAGAAGGAAGGAGAAGGGGATCCAGCCAAAACCAGTAAGCTACTCCATAGGGTGGATCTAAGGAGATATTTAAGATACTGAGGTAATTTGAAAAGAAATTAGGATGGACATTGACCCAGTCTTGGCTAAATTAAGGTTTGTCCATTTCAGCACCATCTTCAAATGAGAAGAGATGAAAACAAAGTCCCAGCATCTTTGGATGCTGTAATTACCCACTGAGTGCCACAGATATTGGATTGTGTCCAGAACCCCCCAAGTTCAGTGCACAGACTCCCATCTCCGGGTCCTCATGGATTTTAGCTCTGTCCCGATGATACCAATCCCTCCAGGGAGCTGAGACTGCCTGTGTTCATGGCTCTACTCAGCCTATCTTGATCATATGTGGAGTGCTGTGTCCCATTAAGGTTTCCTGGGAGTTCCCTGGCTCCTGCTTGACTCTGTGAGTGGTAGAGTGGAGGAGAGCTGAGCACCAGGCCCTCTGGGTCTTTCTCTCTGGCCTCTTTTCTCTCTACCTCTGGAATCATTTTGTCTCTCTGGTACATGCTTTCAAGTAATTACAGAGATATAAGTAACATTTCCATCCAAAAAGTCTATTCAGTCATAGCAAGAGCACAAAAAAGAACCCCCACCCTATTTGAGCTGGTGCCCAGAAGCACTATGTGCCTTCCTAGCATGGCCTGAAGCATTTTTGCAGCCAACTGCACCACATGGCAGGTTTCCTGCTGTTGCAGAAGCAAACCTCAAGCTGGCTGGCAGGTCCCTGAAAGCCAGATTTGCCTCTGGATCTCTGAGCGAGCTGGAATGTGAGAGAGAGGCATACAGAGAGAGTGCTGCGGAGGGTGTCTCTGAAGTATCTCTCATGCCCAGTGCATTACCAGGCTACAGAAACCAGCTAATGCTTATGAACTGTGCAGGAGTGTAAGCACACGAAGAGTTGTAAAAATAACTGGTTGTAGGGCAAAGACCTTGCATTTTTAATGACCCCCCTGTCCCTGCGGGAGATCTTCAAAGGAGATCTTATCTACTAGATGGACGATTCTGACCAGCCATGCCCTTTGAAGTAGGGGTAGTAGTGTGGCTGAGTTAGGTTTAAGCAAGTGCTCTTTCCCCTAAAGCAAGTCCCTTTTAATTGTCCTTTGAATCAATATGTTGATCAAGAAGCAAAATTGAAACCAAGCTCTTGTCAGTGCAGGATTTCCTGCAACTAAGCCGAAGGAGATCCTCAGGGAGTGTGGGGTGTCAGGGCCAGGCCTTGGCACTGCATTGACCCTCAAACCCCTTTTGGAAGAGGCCTGAGCTCAACATGAAAACCTAGGCATCAGCAAGAGGTGCAGACGTGTGTGTGTGTGTCCATCTCATTTCCAGGGCTGAGAATGGTCCGGAAAGGAGAGGGATATGATTTACAGTGCATTGGTTGAGTCTTGGTAGGAGGACAAGAAACAGCAAGAAAATACACTGGAGAGTGACATTCTCATGGGCAGGTGACGAGAGCTGGCTAGTCTGCCACTCAACCCCATGAATTTCCAAAGACAGGAATGAAAAGCGTTGCTTTCAAACACCGATGGTTTGGGGCATCAATTTTGGGATCAGCATCCCATTGGGAAATCATACTTGGGAATTTGATACAAAGTTTCAGCTCCACACATTCGTTCAGATTCTAGATACCATGAAGCATCTGTCCTGGGCGCTTTGCCGCATGAGCTAAACTTCAGCTACTGGCTTCACCCTGCTGCAAGGGGGCTGTGGCTGAGCCCCTCAGGGCTCGCTGGACAGGGACTGTAGTCCTCTCCTACTGCCTGATCTGCACCACTGGAAAAAGGCAGGAAAGGAAGATATCACCAGAGCTAATCCGGGAGTGCAAGGTACTTGTTGCCCCACAGGGATTTAGGTCCATTTGATGCTCTTATTACTTCTTCAGGCTGTTATTAATTTTCTTGTATCACTTTACATAATTCTTTTGTTCTTTTGAAACAGTGAAACAGGCTAGTGCTGTACAGAGGTCTCAGGCAGTGGCTGTTTGGGCTTTTTTTACCCTTAGCACTCTGTAGAGACCATTGAAGAATGCACTCAGTAGCATAAACCCCTTCATCCTAGCGTCTAATTGGGACAGGGAATATTTCATCTACTCACAGTGAGGCAGATATGAGCTGGGTCTGAAGTCACGAGAAGCAGCCAGGTCCCTTTCATGTCCAAAGCACTGTCCTCCTGGGCTGAATCCCACAGGGTGTCCATGGAGCATTCAAATGTTCCCTGCCTCCCCACTTCCACTAAAGAGCACATTACCCACTTGTAGACAAGGACATTTCTGGGTTAATCCCAAAAGCCGCATTGCAGAGTACCCAAGCCAGTCACTGAGCAAGCAGGAGGTAAGAGAAAGACGGCCACAGTGTGGCCAGCTCAGGACTTCATCCAAAAGTGAACAGCCTCCCACATCAAGTCTTCCTCTGAGTTACCACCCCTGGAGATGTTTAAAAGATGTGTAGATGAGGTGCTCAGGGTTATGGTTTAGTGGTGGTCCTGGCATGTACTTAATGATCTTAAAGGCCTTTTCCAACCAAAGTAATTCTATGATTTCAAGTCAAGAGTCATCCCACCAGCAGATACAGGCCTGCCTACTCCCGGGGAGTTGGTCCCTACACTTGGCGCATATCCAGGCTATCTCTGCAACTCCCAAGGCAAGCGGGTGGGTGGCAAGCCCTAGAAAGCAAGGTAGGACAACAATGATAAGCCATTACTGCCAGATCCAGCCCCTCTCCCCAGCTGTTAAATCCCTTTATGCCCCCACCTTGGTGCAAACCCGTGAGGAGTCTCTGCCCAAGCTGGTGCATGGAGCCAGGAGCTGTGTGACACCTCCAGCACACATCTTCTCCTGGCCATGATCCCAAAGCGCTACTGAGGCCAGGGAAGGAGGGAAAAAGACCTTGAACCCCCAGCATCCAGGTAAAGTGAATTAAAATGAGCTCTCCTGGGGTGCTTCAGTAACTAAAGAGGCCAGAAGGACACATATCTCCTGGAGTAAAGCAGCAAATCCTGCTGTCATGTGAAGCTCAGGGACAGCCAGGAGCCCGGGTGAGCTATTAAAATACAATTTATTGGTACAAATCAGACATCATGAAACAAACTTGGTTTAGAAAGAGCTGTCATGTTCTGCACAGATGGATTAGAAATGAACTGTCCCGTGACAGGAGCAATTGACAATGCTGGCAGAGAGACCAGGTGGACAGGTGTAGGGTGAGCAAGGCAGGGAAGAGACTGTTCTGGGGCTGGAGTCCTGCCCTTGAAGGCTCCTGACAGCCAGCTAAAAGTCCTCAAGGAGAAGCAGGGCACAGTGGGAGATGTCTGTCCCACACAGTGGGGGAGCAGTGCGGGGTTTCCCCCAGGTATTCAGGACTTGGGGAAAACAGAGATGGGGTGAGGGCAGGGAGAGGGAGAAAGAGGACTGTCCCCTGTGTCAGAGCCCCTCCAATGGCTCAGAACTGTCAGAAGATGTTGCCTTGGGCTAGAGACTTACTCAGCATGCCCTCACCTTGTGCATCTCTCCGCTGCTTAAGCCAACAGCTCTTCTGGCCATCCAATCCGTGTGTGCTCCAGCTCATGCTGCTTCTGGAGCACAGACTGGTTTTGTTCTTGGCCCTGGCTGTATCCTGGACTTTGGGTCTCCAGCCCTGCAAGCGTTGGGCCAAGGTTTGAAGGGAAGCACCCATAATGTCCACGGTTTGCACTCACTTCCCAGAGAAGACAGACACCAATGGCTTCTCTGGACACGCAACACGTCCCACTGGATCTCAGGGACACAGCAATGGTCACTGCCCCAGTACGCAGGGTCAGGTTTAACTGAACCAGGCTTGGTCTGCGTACATTTTCCGTGCCTACTGGGACAGAAATACAAGCATGCAGCTCAGTACATTCACACAGCCAGACAAGACAAGAAAGTGACAATGTTTATAGAGATAGATGGAGCCTAAGGGAACACAGGAATGGGTAAACTCAAGGCAGATTTGCTTAAATCTGGTCATATGGACCTCCAAGAGCATCTGCTGCCAACTGAACTCTGCAGGATGAGATGGAAGCACCCCCCCATCCCTATCACTTTTCAGTCTCTTGCTCCTTGAATCTTTTCTCCACACTCTAGTGAGTCAGTATCCCAGAAGACCCAAAACGTCCTGAGCGGTCCATAAATGGAGCTGTGTGCTGTGAGTGGACCTAGCAGCTGAAATAACAAGAGTTGGTTACCAGGGCCTTGAGCAGAGCCATCTAGGCCCAGTGTTGGTCACTATTTCAGGTCGTTGTTGATAACCACACTGTCATGCATGTCACAGTAAGTTGTCATCTTCTTCCTCTTGCCAAAGGTGGAGAAGCTGTTCTTGTTCTCCCAGCCCAGGAAGAGGGGCGCATCTTTGCTAGAAAGCAGAGTGGGGGTGCCAGGGATGTAGACATTGTGCTGGTAATCCAGGGCTGGGATGTGCCCTGGGTATACGGGGCTATACTGGGGTGTCCAGACACTGTTGGCACCTGCTGAAGCCTTCTGAAACTCTGGAAGAAAGATGAGTGTAAGACTGGCTCAGAGCGGTCACATCCACAGCTCAGTGGGACAGTCACATCCATGCCACAGGGTGCAAGCCCATGTGTCACCAACCTCCCGCCTGGACACCCCTTCCACCCCGCAAAACTCCACTACTGTTAGAAACAGGGATGCATGTCCCCCACTGTATCTCCACTAAGTGACAAGAGTGTCAGGTCTTCCCAGTACCCCAGTACTAACCAGAGACAGGGGTCACCAGTGTGCACAGCCTCTCATGTTCCTTCTGGAGGGCTCTGCGGATTTCCCCCACATCCTCCAGGCTCTGGGAGCTAAAGAGAAGAGACTAGTTCAAAGCTGCATCAGAGCTAACCTCCCCATCCCCACATCCGACTTCCACCAGCACCCTCAGTTCCTGCAGTGTCAGATTTGGTACCTTTTCAGGGCAGGTCGCCGTGTGCTTGGAGGCAGCCAGTCCATGTTGGGCTGTTTGATCTGGAAAAGACAGGGAAGGGCAAGGGTGATTATTGGGACCCCTTGTTAAGAAGCTCAGCCCAGCCAGCATAAGGCTTCAGTAGCCAGGGGTGCAGGACTCCATCTGCTCTTTCGCTAAGCCCTTTGTGGAGAAGCAAGTGGGATATTCCCAATTTAGGGAAATCAAGACAGTGTTAAATCAGCTTGTTCTCTTCTGAACCTTCTCCACCATCCTGAGACAGCAGGGTTCTCTAGGACTTGCTCTCTGTCTCTGGGAATTTAATAGTCAAGGTGTGTCCTTTCAAGCAGAGGGAGGGGCTTTTCCTATTTCTGTTAATTTAAAAAAGCTGTTTTTTGCAGGTGTGATGGTAAATTATCCCAGGTCTCAGGCACCAAAGGGTGAGATGTGTGGAAGTTGGCTGCATAACCAATGTCCCAAGGGGGTTGCAAATACATAGGGGAAAATCCCACTAATGTATTAGAGAAGTGAGTTCAGTGGTGCAAGGAGATGTGGGGGAAGAATGTCTTGGCAGCGAGTCTCGGGCTCTCCTTGAATAGACTGTTTTATTAAAAGTCAAACGTAAGTGGATTAGACGCCTCATCACTCTCTATCCTTGTAATCGTGTTTCGGAAAGAGTCTTTCATCGGGAAAATGAGACATTCCTCATTTCAATACCTAACAAATGTTGACATCAAAATCCCGCCCCAAAGATCCCATTCCCTCCCCGCGGGCGCAGCTCAGTGCGGCACAGTGGCCAGGTCCAGGTGCCAGAAAACAGGGGACAAAAGAGATGCCAGGGCAAATGGGACCAGACCCGGGTGCAGCAGTGGGACCCCTGCTGGAACAGGGGAATTGGAGCCACAGCAAGACTCAGGCTGTCCCAGTATGAATTGCTGACCCACATGAAAGAGATGCCACCCCCACCATCCTACCTCCCCTGGGGCACTGGAGCATCTCTAGTGGGTACAAAAGGCAGTGGGAAGGGATTTCCTCTTGCCTCAGCTGAGACTGACATTCCCATGGTAATTAGACCCATCGGGAAGCTCAGTGGAAAGTTTCCGCGCTGCCTGATGGCTCCTAATTCCCGCACTGATCAAAGGCACTGGTTATTCTCTGGAAAAAGCCATGCCTGGTTTCTCTCATGACAGAGGCTGAGGAAGGGGGCTGGGGGGAACCCATGGAGCAACCGCGAGCACTGCCGAGCATGGCGTTACCTGCTTGGAGACCTGGAAATTCTGGCTCAGCTGGGACCGCTTCCCAGAGTCCTTCTCGTTGTTCCGGAGGGGGCTGCAGGGTTTGAGGAACATGAAGTCACTTTGGGCAGACTCAGGACCAAGGCAGACCTTGTAGCAGTAGCCCGGGGGGCCACCCCCAGGCACGTCGAGGCAGGTGGCAGCCGTGGTCCCCGCAGGGGGCTGTGCCGTCAGGTTGGATGTCTTGAGGCCATCAGAGGAGGGTCTGGACCCAGGGCAGCAGTGGCAGCGGGGCGGTGAGCAGCCTTTACCCTGTCGGGACCGCCTCTCTCCACGGCACCGAATGGCTGTG